CCACTGTATTGTCCATGAAGATGTTTAAAACAGTCCTTGAAGTCCACACTCAGCAGCCTGCTCTGACCAGAAGTGCAAAGCCACAAACTGTTGTCTTCAGCATCATCTGTAAGCTCAGCTACAGATCCTCCTGGCCAGAAACAAGACTCCTGCCTGCAGAATATATGGTTTGATGAGTGGAAGGTAGGGTTGAGATGCAGATGTCCTGCTGAGGTTCTCAGGAGCTGAAGCCACGCTGCTGCGTCTCCCAGTGACCTGCGTGATTCTTCACCACAGCTTCTCTCCGTCAGCTGGTAGATGATGATTGTCAAAAACTATCTGCAGCATAAAGATAAGATATCACACAGTGCAAAGCACGAGCTGAAAAATACTAATACAGGCTTGAGCTGAAAAATACTAATACACAGGCTTGTCATTTTGCTGAACTCCTAACATGGTTCTGAATTCCGGTCTTGGTGACCCACTATCCTGCATGTTTTAGATGTTTCCCTGCTCTTCAGCAGGTCTTTAAGTTCTGCAGAAGCCTGTCAATCACTCATTCATTTAAATCADGTGTTCCAAAGCAGAGAAACAGCTAAAACATGCAGGATAGCGGGTCATGAGGACCGGAATTCAGAACCACTGCGCAGCATCGGTGTTGTGTTAGCTTGATAGCTATTTATAACTTATAGAAAGAGTGCAACATAATTTACATGTAACGTTATGACAAAAGGAGCACTTGTGTAGATAAAGTATGGGCAAGACATGWTAGTTAAAAATATATTGTTGATGGTTTGTTCTTACCTGTAAAGCGCTTAGCTCTGAGCTCTGTGTGTTACGGTGTGGCTCACCTCCGGTTAACCGTGCGCGCTCCCGTATCTGGGCCCTGCCTTGGGGGAGGAGCCTAGGAAGGGGAGCTGAGAGCAGGGGGAGGGACTACAAGGTTGTTTCTGTTCAAAAATTTTCTAAGTTTTTGGGTTCCCAAGAAACTACATACAGCAGCTTTAAGTGCTGCACCTGCAGCAGAACTGACTGATTATATTCAGTGATCTTTTCTGTTTCTGCTCTCCTCTCAGGCTTCATGGCGTCAGACATGACGTCTCGAAACTCCAGCACTCAGCTGTGGCTCATCACTCACTACCACGAGAACGGTTCGCTCTATGACTACCTGCAGCATGTCGCCGTGGAGACGTGCGAGGGCTTGGCGATGGCAGCTTCGATAGCGTGCGGCCTCGTGCACCTGCACACCGAGATCTTTGGCACGGAGGGGAAGCCTGCCATCGCACACCGAGATCTGAAGAGCAAAAACATCCTGGTGACCAAGGAGCTGCGCTGCTGCATCGCGGACCTTGGTCAGCTTTTATTTCAACACGTTTTGATTCATTTTTAAAAACGAGCCTTTTGTTAGGCTTTGTAGCAGCTCGATGTGTGTAGCTTACACCGTTTCTAAAGCCTTGGCAGTAACAGCGTTGCCTCGTGACAGGACTGGCGGTGACTCACTCTCAGGCAGACAACCTGCTGGACGTGGGCAACAATCCGAAGGTTGGCACCAAACGCTACATGGCCCCTGAAGTGCTGGATGAGACCGTTCAGACCGACTGCTTCGACGCCTATAAGAGAGTTGACATATGGGCCTTTGGACTGGTGCTGTGGGAGATAGCAAGACGCACYTACAGTAACGGTGAGTGAGTGTGCAGCTCACTGTTGGCTGCACATACGGCGATGCAATAGTTTGTCACAGATGCAGAGAGTCTTGCTTTATTGTCATGATGATGATGATGATCCCTATTGGACTGCCATGTTGTGGTTAGGATGGTTCATTTTGTTTGAAACTGTTAAACTCCTTCCTCTAATTTTTAGCATTAAATGTCTTTTTGCAGGCATCGTTGAAGAGTACAAGCCTCCGTTTTACGATCAGGTACCAAACGACCCCAGCTTTGAGGACATGAGGAAGGTGGTGTGTGTGGAGCAGGAGAGGCCTTTTATTCCCAATCGCTGGTTTTCAGATCCTGTAAGTAAAAATACCAGACAAAAGTTTGTTTTTCCAGTTTACCGCTTAGTTTTGGGTGTATTAAAAATCATACCAATAAGATAATATTGATGACTAAGGCATTAGAAATTATTTTCTATACTTATAATAAGTGGCATATTCTTGGTTAAAACATTTATTAGTAAAATGCTTATTTCTTTGTTTTTATTTGGAAACCATAAATTTGAACAAAGGAAATTTAGTGTTTTAAAAGGTGTTTTTATTGGACAGTATCAAATCGTACAGGTCTAGTAACCTGTCTATATATTTTTTATTGTTTTTTTATGTCTGATATCCTCAGGTAACCTTTAAACACTTAATCGGATCATCTTATTCTGATTATAGAAAACTGACCTGTGTGCGCAGGTCTGCTGACTTTCATTCACCCGGTTCTGCTCTTAGAGGAGGTGGGACAGCAGCGTTTCCAGCTGCGCTGCACCACGCAGAAATTCTCCCCACGCTCTCTTAACAGATGAAAAAGGAAACAAACAGCAGACGTTGCTTCAGAAAAAATACAAATAAAAAAAACACGTATTGCTTCATCTGCAGCTCAACCGAGGAGTAACGATGTCTCTACCGTTATTAAAAGCTGACACGGGTCCGTCCTGAGCGCACAGAGGAGCGTTGTTTACGTTTGTAACACTGAAGTAGAGCTGAACGTTTACAACACTGCACATGTCCGGACTTTTATTCTGAATAAAAGTCCTGTGCATGTAAACACTTTTCATGATCGGATTGTGTCCATTTAAACAGTACATTCGGATTATTTAATCTGAATACATTTCAATCTGATCAAAAAATTTTGTGCATGTAAACATAGCTACTGTGGGTATCTGAAAACGGTTTTATTCATCTCCTGCAGTCACCTCGCAGCGTTTCCTTCCACGACTCATATTCTGTCCTCTGTGTCCCCTCAGATGCTGTCGGCTCTGGTCAAACTGATGAAGGAGTGTTGGTACCAGAACCCCTCAGCCCGACTCACAGCACTGCGCATTAAGAAGACTCTGGACAAGATTCACAGCTCTCTGGAGAAGGGCAAGGAGTCGTGAGGGATCAGAAGGAAGGACAAAGCTCCACCTTTTTCTCCGTCTTCCTCTGTTGGACTCGAAGCCCGTGAGGACGTGTCGCGTCTGAAAAGGGACAGGAACCAGTCGTCACTGTGCTCCCGCTGACCTGAACTGTGGTCCGTTAGTCACTGGACGTTGTAGTACCCAGTCACATGGCTTCGATGCACAATTCATTCTCCTCTGGTTTGGCCTTCGTTCACACATCGAACGCTTCGGGCCGAGCGTCTCAGTTTCTGATCTCCAGCTCAGAGACAATCAAAGCCAGTCCCACTCATTTAGCTTCATTAGACCCAAGCCAACGCTCACAAATACACGTTCACATAGAAAAGGAAGAAGAGCCACTAGAACCAACCTTGTTTTAAAATCTTTTGGGGGAAAAAAGTACTATGATATATGTATTAAACCTCCACTTTTACCACACTACTGAGGATATATGTAAGCTATAAACTTATATAAGCATCAACTTTATTGGACTGTTGTACCCTTCAGTGATCAGATAGGAAATGATTTGATGAGGAAAAACAGGACATTTCTTGTATGAAACACTACAGCTGTGTGTTTACAGCTGCTTCGAACACAACTATCTCCTGATAGAAATCTGTATTTTAAAATAGGAAAATAAAATCTCTGCTGGGCACAGTTAGGCAGAGGAATGATGCAGACCAGCTTGGAAAGGAGCTAGTTATTTTTCTTTTCCTTCTATCTTTTATTGACGATGATGAAATGATGAAAATAGTCTTCATGTAGCAAACTGGACGTCCGCTCCTCTCCAGCCACGCTGTACAAATTGCCTGGATAATAAAACCAAACACTTCATCTCCGTTGGAAACGGTTTTTATTTAGGAACTTGTTTTTCAAACTCAGAAGTTGCCTAGGTGTACAAAGACGTTAGTTTAAAAAAGCTGCCTTTGTTTTAAAGAGAAAAACTGTTGCTTTGTCTTTTTTATATGTAATAAAACATTTACTGCACTATTGCCTAATGGTTAGTCAGCCTGTGTTGTGATTTTATTAGATCCCTGTGTGTTGAATTTAATGTAGCTTTAAATAATTTTACTGTACTAATTTATTTACATGGACAGGATTTTAAAGTGCCTGTGACATGCACGTCCTTTAAATATAATCAAAGTATCATATTTATGTTTAAGGAACTTTGCATTATACACATGATTTTACCCATTTTATCACAGAACTGGCATGTTATGATTTTGGCTCAGCCAAAATGAAACAGGAAGTGACATCAAAGGAGAACGCTAAGAAAAAAAAACTCCCTGGTGTTTGTTTGTTGAAACAATATTTGAACTTGACTCTTCATCTCTCTGATAGTGATTAAAAATCTAAAGAAACATCAGAATCTTCTCTACAGTCTGTCAGTTGTAGCAACGCTCTGTTTATATTCCACTTTGACATCACTTCCTGTTGCTGCGCCTCCAAATATCTCACCAACTGTTCATCTCAGCAACATGAATTTTGTTTTCAATGTTCTCTGTCCATTAATGTTTCTATTTATTACAAAAAAATTAATGTCACATGCACTTCAGGGACTTTTCAACTGGCAGTCTGCGGGCCACTCCCGGCCTGTAGGTAAGCTCAGTCTGGCCCACCATTCAAACTAATACTGAATTTTAAATAAATGTAAGAAACATTTTTTAAATCATATAAATGATCAAGGACAGAAATACAAAACTCTGCCAGTGAGCTCATTTAAGATCAAATTCGATTTTAAATTAAACTTACAGAATGACTAATTATTGTATGATCAGCTGCTGTGTCCCCCTGAGCAGTTTAGTTGAACAGCACTGAACTAGTTAACTATTTACAAAAGAAAATCTGGTATTTTTTCTATTGCACAACAACAAACACCAGGAAAAGGAAATCAGTCACAAATCATATGTCAAGGATAAAGGTCTGTTACCCCAAAATCATCGTAGATGATCTGGTAAAGTCTTGTATGGGTTAAGGATCCCTTTGGGGTCCAGCATGGTCTTGATGTGGCCCATGAGGGCCACAGCTTGGCTCGACTTGCTGTAGTGGATGTAGTTCCTCTTCTTCAGGCCCAGTCCATGTTCAGCACTGATGCTGCCGTGGTGCCTGGCTGTCCACTCGTAAACAAAAGGCTCGATGGCAGCCAGGAGGGCGGGGTCCCTGGCAGCAGACGTGACGTTCAGGTGGATGTTTCCGTCGCCTGCAGAACGAGTGTTTAAAGACGTGAAGGAGGAAGACACCAGGTTAAAACTCAAAAAAAAAAAAAAAAAAGATGACGCCTTACCAACATGCCCGTATCCCACCACACTCTTGGCCCGGTTTCCCAAGTGCTGCCTCATGTCCGTCACCAGGTGGTAGATCTGCTCCACAGGAAGTGAAATGTCGTACTTGTAGTTGAAGCCGTCGTGAGTCAGAGCCTCTGTGACGCGTTCACGCATCGACCACAGAGCCTGGAAGAGAGCGAACGGAAAGGCTGCATCCATCACAGTTTTGTTTTTACCTTTGAGACTGACTAAACGCTGGGAAGAACATGGAAACGGGATTTTGATTTGAAAAACTCTTAAATAAATACTTAAAACTCCTTGAAAAGAAGAGACTATTTGGTTTTAAAGGTTACTGTAAATAATAGGGCTGCAGGATATTAGGAAAACCTGCAATATGTGATAACAGGGCTTAATACTGCGATGACTTGCGATAAATAAACATATACTTAAGTATGTAGAGTACTGCTCTGGGTTCAGAGCTAAAACAAAAAAAAAAAAAAAAGATTTCCATTCCAGCATGATTTTTTTTAAATATGAAGAGATCCATCCAACTGGCCAAATACATGAAGGGTCAGCTTTAAAGCCGACATGCTAGTGGTCAGAGAACCCTTTTATATTTTAAAGACAGAAGAGGAGGTTACCTTTATTTTTGACTCCTCGGTCGCTACAGTTCCATCAGAAACGAGTAACGACGTCATCGCTTCCTCCAGAAAGTTGTGAAGCTTCTGCTCGTCGTGACTCGGATCAGATCCAGATGTTTCTATGAGGATGTAGAACGGGCAGTCTGCAGAGCAGAGCGACACAGACGGACTGTTATACGTTTGGTTTTGTACCGATCACGTGTATGCGCATGTGTGGACGTGTACCAGAGATGGGATTGGTCAGTTTGAGGTGCGTTTTCAGCAGCCTCATGCATTCGCTGTCGAGGAACTCGAAGGCTGACAGAATTTCTCCCAGCATGCCTCTGCACAGCTGAAAGGCCCTCAGCAGCTGCTCGAAGGTCTCACATCCTGAAAGAAGCACAAACTGAGTGATCAGGATCATTTACCCCGACTGTTTTTAAACCAGCTTTTTACACACAGATGTGAGAAACTGACTCTCCTACCCAAGAAAACCACATTCACAGATTTGGGTTTTCGCGGACAGAGGATGGAGACGGCGGTGATGACTCCCAAAGTGCCTTCTGAGCCGATGAAGAGCTGTTTCAGGTCGTAACCTGTGTTATCTTTTCGCAGTGTGGCCAAGCAGTCCAGCACCTGTCCTCCTGCCAGCACCTGCTCATCATCAGAGGGACACACACACGGAGGACAAACAGGTTTTTGTTAAAATACTGTCACTTCTAGCTCCAGAAAATGTTGTATCGATGCTTCTTGGCAGTAAATCTTATAGTGGGCACCTGATTGGCAGCACCAGGTGGTACCAGAAGACCAAAATAAGTGTCAACAGCAAAATAAGCCGAGAAGAGTTGGTATTTGTTTATGTGCATGTTATAGCCTGAGGCCATTTTGTTTTGTAAAAGACTTTGCTGCTGCAGGTATCTGATGCTGGACCTGCTGTGCTGTGACAACTCTGCGATTGGCTGGCCTCTCCTGGCTCCTCCTGGTGGACATCCCCTGCATTTGGATTGGATCATTCAACTTCTGCTCATCCAGTCACAGAAGACCCTCTTCTATTTAAGCTCTGCTCTTGTTCATCAGCACAGCTCATCATTTTGTCTGCAGGTTTTCTTTCTGGTTTGTTTGGCCTTGTTGTTTCTGCCAGGTCTAGTTTGGTAACCAAGTGGGTTAGATTTTGAAGTCTGTTTTTTGTGGTAGTTGAACAAACTGTGGTTTTATTTTTAGTACAGACCAGTGTTAACAGACGTACGATAATTATTGTATTCGTACGATATTTTTTCCCTCTGTACAATGTACGATCAATAATTCCCAAAATCCCCTAATATACGATAATTTGACCGTTTCAATGTGTGACAGTATAGACCCGACACACGGCTCGCTGACATGAGAGGCAGCAGGTTGCTATATTTACGGAGATTTCAGACCCCTTTACTGTTTTTCAGAAAAGAGACTAGTGAAAATCTAGCGACTCTTCTAGGGCTGCAACGATTAATCAATTAATCGATGATTAATTTAATAATCGATTAATCGTTTTCTTTTTTTTTTGTTCTTTACTATTTTTTTCTCCCCAAACTGCTTTGACACCTTCCACTGCCACATCTGCCTTTCTGTCCTTGACACACATGCACAGTAGTGGTAACTGGGGTAGGCCGTGGACGTCACAAGACATTATACAGACAGGCTCTGGTATCATGGCTACC